CTCCGTTAGCATTGTAGCTAACGCCGCCATGTCCGGGGCACCAGGCGTAACGTTGTCGTCTTTCTTTTCTCCTTTCCTGGGCTTCGAAGCCATTTTGCTTTGTGTCAAATGATAATGGCAACTGTGTTACACTTATACTGGATTGAGCCGATTAAGTATAGATAAACAAAGTAGCAACAATTAAGTTTGTGGGAGCACGGGAATATGCGACTACTCCATGGTGGTCTTAACCGGAAGTCTATAAAAATGTGTTTTAAGTCGTGATTTAAAAACAGGTAAAGAGGGGGCCAGCCTAATATGCAGCGGTAGCACGTTCCAGAGTTTAGGGGCTGCTACTAAAAAAGCACGGTCTCCCCTGTGCTTCAGCCTTGACCTGAGTGACCTTGAGGGCACATGTTGCTGTAAGAGGTCAGAGAGATAGGGTGGAGCTTGCCCGTTTAGAGATTTGTAGGTAAATAATAAAATTTTAAAATCAATTCTAAAACGAATAGGAAGCCAGTGGAGTGAGGCCAATATCGGGGTGATATGCTCACGCTTGCGTGCTCCTGTTAACAGACGAGCTTCTCTAAAAGATAAGAAGGACTTGACTTTAGATAAAAGCCTCAGCTGGAAGAAGCTGGATTTGACAACCGAATTTACCTGTTTAACAAATTTAAAATCATCGTCAAATACCACACCCAAATTTTTTGCAGTAGGTTTTATGTATGCTTCCAGGGAGCCCAAGTCGATATGAGATACATCACAGACACCACTGAGTCCAAATAACAGGAGTTTAGTTTTGGCTTAATTGAAGCTTAAAAAATTCAGGGCCATCCAGGATTTAACATCCTGCAGGCAGTTCAGTAGTGGTTTTAGCGAATTAGAATTTTTCTGGTTCAAGGGCAAGTAAACTTGAGTGTCATCTGCATAACAATGGAATGACATGCCATACTTCCTAAAAATAGATCCAAAGGGAAGCAGGTAGAGGCAGAATACAGCTGGCCCGAGAACAGAACCCTGAGGGACTCCACGATGCTGCCCCTCCTCCCTTGAAATCCAATGTGCAGCCTTGCTTTGAGCTGAGAACAAGAGCTCTCAGGTCTGCATCTAGAGGAGACTGTAATATCCCACAGCGCAGTTCTGCATTTGCACAACCCGCCTTTTCTTATAAGGCCATCAAGGAGTGGAATAGGCTTCCTACCAACTTAAAAAACATCCCTGGTTATAATCGCTTTTGTCTTGAAGCTAAAAAATGGCTCCTGTCTACTCAGTCTTGCTAGCATTAACTTGAACCTGGTGACACTGTCTACGATTTTTAACTGGGCAAACATGCGGTATAGGCCTACCTGTGACGACATCTAGAGTAAACTTAATCGGATGTCTTTTAATACCATTATTGCTGTATAGAACTGTCTGTAACTTTTCTGTATCGCATAAATTACCATTGTTGGTATTTACAATTGTAATTTCTCTAAGGACTACATATATTTTCTTACTGTCGCATTAACTGATGGTTTATTTTATGGTCGCTGAGGTAATGTATTTATGTATTTATATGTTGATGAATCTCGCACTTTATTGTCGTGCAAGCACTTTGTTCTGGTTGTAGGTTTTGGCACCTTACGCTATTGTATTTTGTGAACTTGCTACTGTTGATTGTATGTTATGCTATGTTTGTCTTTGTTGGTCATGGTGCACTTTAGGTCTGTTTGTCTTATTGTATTGATTTTTTAATGTGTTTTTAAGGACTACAGATGGAAATAAGCTTCTCTGCTAAATCTGGTGCACAAATCTTTTATTCTTATGAATGAGTAATGTAAGTGCATATTGTCCTTTAGAAACTAAATAGACTAAACTAAACTATCCCCAAAGATCCCAAGCTTATTTACAAATTGAATTTAATAGAAAAATTGAAATCTGACATTGAAACCTGGAGATTGCTTCCTTTGTCAATGATAGGGTGCGTCAGTGCAATCAAAATGGTGACACTCAAGTTTCTGTACCTCTTCCAAAATTTACCCATATTTATACTCAAAGTTTTTTTGAAATCATTAGATTCTATTATCTTGCCTTTTGTATGGGGATTTAAAGTTCAACGTATTTCTAAAAAACATATAACCAAACCTAAACTCATGGGAGGCCTCAGTTTGCCTAACTTCCTGCACTATTATTGGGTGGCAAACTGCAAAGCTCTGATGTATTTCCAAGATGCATATCCAGGTAAAGTCACTGTTTCCACCCCCTCATGGCTTGCAATTGAACAAGATCTCCCCAACAGCTCTCTTCCTGCCCTCCTCTTTTCATCCACCAGTCCCCCTTCAACTATCACAAACAATGTCTTCATGGTCACTAGTGCTTTAAGAATCTGGTATCAGATAAGGAAGTCATTCAAGTTGCCAGAAACTTCAGCCTGTACTCCAGTTAGTCACAATTGTGCCTTCCCCTCCTCTCTTACTGACAGTACGTTTAGGCTTTGGAAAAATAAAGGCATCATCACAATAGCAGACCTTCGTATCAATAACACTTTTTCCACCTTTGATCAGTTAAAAGAAAAGTATGCTCCCAAATTAGCACTTCTTCCATTATTTCAGTTCAATCAATTTTATTTATAAAGTCCAATATCATAAATCACAATTTGCCTCACAGGGCTTTACAGCATACGACATCCCTCTGTCCTTAGGACCCTTGCAGCGGATAAGGAAAAACTCCCCCAAAAACACCCTTTAACAGGGGAAAAAATGGTAGAAACCTCAGGAAGAGCAACTGAGGAGGGATCCCTCTTCCAGGACGGACAGACGTGCAATAGATGTCGTACAGAACAGATCAACTGATCTCCAGATCAGAGATTACATCCACACAAGTATGCCACACACAGACATCCATTCCATAGGTGGTGCTGAACATCTTGCTGTTCATACTATGTATAAAGTCATTTTTTTTGTTTTTTAGGAGTTTTTCCTCATCCGCTGTGAGGATCGGCCGGGTTCCACCGGCTGCAAACGTAAGTGTCACGTCAGCGTAGCGTCGCGGCGTATTCATCTGGGCTCCACTGACTGCGTATGGAAGCGACACATAGAGAAGCCAGCGGGGTTGTTTACCATTTGCCGAGCCGAGAGGCTGCATGAAATGTTAAAGCATTTCCCACCTAAGTTATTACATATATTTGAGTTATCTACAAGTTTACTGTACTGTTTGTCATCTACTCGCTTTCAAATGTCCACCACGGACATTTACACAATGTCACGGATAAACATGGGTAAATGCATGAAAAAAAATCATCACATATCACCTCTGATAATGGTTTATTCATTTAAAAACACATTGTGCTCGTTTAGCACACTATTTCATGTAGTTTTTATCTGCTGGAGGGTCGCGTAGGGGAGCGTAGCCCGACAAAAATAGAAGAGCCTCCTAAAATAGAGAGTTGTCGTGCAGCAGACGGGGGTTGTCGCGCCGCTCCTGTTGCCGGTGCAGCCGCTGTAATTGATTAACAGGGGGGTGAGCTGCTACGGGACTCGCGCTGCAGACGTGTCGCGGCGCTGACGTGCCCGGTGGATCTCGGCCATAAGGACAGAGGGATGTCGTATGCTGTAAAGCCCTGTGAGGCAAATTGTGATTTGTGATATTGGGATTTATTGG